ATTGTTATTTTTAGTACAATCATCGAATGAACTAAATATGGTATCTAACTTTTGTTCAGCATCTTCTAAATTAAATTTTATTTTAATCGATTTATGAAATTTTTTTTTGCACATAACATTTTGATATATTTTTGTACATCATGAAAATTTTGTTTTTTTATGATAAATTTGATTACAAATATCTTCTTTAAATTCCTTATTAATGTCTGGTATCTGATATAGCTTATAACAATATAGTAAAAGATATCTAAATATTTGATGAAATTCTTTCAAAGAATTTTCTATTTTGACAAATGTTTCAACGAAAAGCATAATAACACTTACGAGGGAACCTCCCAAGTTGCTAAAATGCTTTTGAGCTCAAATTTCATCCATAAGTAGGGAATATATAGACTAGAAACATCCTAAGAGGATATGGGGACAAGTTGTAATTTGGTTGAGATATCGACATTTTACTGTAATTATCCTGGAGCACTCCACTTTTGCGGTAAAACCAATGTCGACTTTTGACCTGAAACTTTGCCCATATAAAGGCATTAGTTAGACTAGCTTGCCTACACAGTTTCAAAGGTTTTAGACAAATTATTTCTGAGACATTACTTTTACAAAATATCCGTGCATAACGCAATATATATAGAAAAGCGTCCTTCTGCTAACATACTGAGATTTCGGAGATAATTTGCCCAAAATCTTTGAAAAATTGTAGGCAAGCTGGTCTGACTGAGACCTTGATATGGGCAAAGTTTCAGGTCAAAAGTCGACATTGGTTTTACCGAAAAAGTGGAGTGCTCCAGGATAATTACAGTAAAATGTCGATTTCTCAATCAAATTAAAACTTGCGCCCATATCCTCTTAGAATCTTTCTAGTCTATATATCCCCTATTTGTGGACGAAATTTGAGCTCAAAAGCATTTTAGCACCTGGGGAGATTCCCTCGTTAGACTTTTTTCATTCATTGTATTTATAACTACAATATTTTCGTTTTTTCCATATTCTAATATCTGTGTAAGATATTTACTTTGTAAAATTAATTCGTGTACATTAGAAAAAGTCTTTTCGGTTTCTAGAAAATTCTTCAGTAACTGTACGAACTTTTCAAAAAAGATAAATGTAAAAATTGATCAAAAATCAAGCGAGATTTTTCAAAAATAGACTAATTATTTTGCACATTCGGGATATTCATCTTGAGTAACTGTAATATCTTACTCTAACAGGTTCAAACTATTGTATACTGTAATTTATTTTTAAAACTTTCAAAGTTTTATTTATCTTTTCTTGAAAATCTAACAGATTTAAAGAAATTTGTTTAAGAATTTCAAACATAATATCTACTATAGAATGAACTTCTAAATTTTCTTGTCCTTTTTCGTCAAGATTATTTCTTTTATATTCAATTGCACGAATACATTGTTCGATTTCACTTTGACTTTCTTTTTTACTTATTTGTTCAATTAATTCGAATATTTAATTAAATCTTTGTATTTTAACTAAAGTTTTGATTGATCTTCGACATGATCTTTTATTTCTCCAGTTTCTAAGATCTTTAAATATTGATCGATGATTTGTGAAAATTGGCTTTTAGATTTTTCAATTATTTCAATGGTTTTATTTTCAGAAAGATTATCTTCTGCATTATCTGAAACGGATACTTTCTCAGTAGTTTCAATAAACCATTCCTTAACTTTTTCTATATTTCCTTTACTAGAAAATTCTTATCTATAAAAATGTTCTTTTTAAAAATTCCATATGAGGATTATCAGAAGCGCATTGACAAACAAATGCATTAAAATAGGCATGTATTAAACTATCTTCTGACATCTCTCTTTGATTTGGACATTTTATAAGAAAAAGCTTCCGAATGACGAAGCAAAAATCGAAGCAAGAAAATAATTGTTTAATATATTAAAAGAAACCAAATATTCTACTGTGTTTCTCAAACTGCTTATCAATTTTTTAAAAATCGTACCTCGTTATTGTCTTAATTTTGTGGTAATATAAGAAGGCAATCGTATGCTGACATGAGTTTATTTGTTATCTATATCTTTTTGTATAGTAGCGGTTAGTGTTAGTGAATAAAAATTAAAAAAAACAAGAGACGTGATTATTGTAAGTGGGAAAAAATTCAATGACAGAATATTTTATCGTCCGATTTTTTCGACTTACTGTGATATAGTAACATATATTATTGTAATATGTTGTTTTTCTTTCTGTTCCCAAATGCTTTTGTGATGAGTTATCATAGACAACATATACAGATATATATATATATATATGTATTTTTTCCTCTTTCAAGTTAAGCTGACTCATATCCGTTTCTCATTCCTCTCGGTTACATGCTATCGTTTAGGCGTATATACTTCTTTCATTTTTCTCTGGTTTCACCGAAAGGTCACCAAGGACAAACTGGTAGTATACAGATAAAAAAATAACAATAATAAATTTAAATAAAAACATTTATTCCCTTTTATGAAATAAAGGGTCTTATTGTTAGGTACTAGTATGTTATCTCCTCTCTTCTTTTATTCTATTGTTATTCATGTTACTATCCGATATATGTGATAGATTTTTCCATTCATTCTCCTCTTCTTTTCTTTCCTTCGTGCTATGTATTGTTTCCTTTTCTCTTGATATTTCACAGGTGATTTTCCTTCTCTTGTATCAACACCTACGGAATATTCCATCTTATGGATTTTCCCCACTTGTTTCTTATATATATAGTAGTTCGTCTGTTGCAAAGAAAGAAAGGGACCAGATTATCCTAGTAATTATTGTCATCTTTCATTTCACGTGAGGATCATGCTTCACACTTACGAAGGAAGTTAGTTTGAAATATTTGAAATTATGTATATGTCCGCAAGACGGAAAAATAAGAATAATAGAAAATAGTGAAAAAAAATATATAAAATTAATTTTTTGTTCTTGAAAATTATGGAAATTCTATGATGAATGCTGAAGAGAGGCTTGACGACTCAAATATTCACAAGAAAAGACAAGGGTCTTGTACTAGATCAGAACGAAATGAAACAGTGAAACGAAAACAAAAACGATTATGCCTTGATCGAGAAAGAAAAAGAAAAGAGAAAATATGAAACGATTGACCGAAGAGAATGGTGTCCGAAAACTAATCGTATATGCATAGATAAAGAGTTGCTAAAAAAATTGACGACGAATGTCGCATTCGACTTCGACGAAATCGTGAATGTACTATCTATAGTCGTGAGATGAAGTTAACAATAAATGCGCAATAAATAGTCAAGCAGAACAAAATCAAATAGAATAGAACGACAGTCACTTTCTAAGGAGGTTGATACCAGATTAAAAAACGTTCGAAATTGAAAATACATTTCAGAGGAAATTCTCACATAGATAACAGTTTGTCTAACAATGATGAGATACAGATCAAACGTATAAAAACTAAAAAAGAAAGAAAATCAATCACAATGATGGACAATAGAATAAATTTATGTTCAGATAAAGTTCGAACGAGAGATGAACACAGTTAGGGTCGGTTCGCAACTATTCAAACCGATCTGGACTTCGGTTCGGTTCGCTTTTTAGGATGTGGGTGTGGGTGTGAGTATGGGTGCCAGTATAGTTCTCTTCTTTATTCACATTCACACTCACCACACCCATACCCACACCTACCACACCCACACCCACACACCCACCACAACCACACCCCACACCTACCCTCGAGTGGAATCCGTCTTGGCCCCCTGCAGTTACACAAGGAGCAACTAAATGGCTCAATGACTTTTCATAGCTTGCAACGGCCGTTGCACTGTCGACTTTATTTGCACAGTGAGTTGTCATTCTTTCTACATAATCCCCCATGCAAAAGATTCTTCTTCTACTTTCTTTGCTATTTCATAGCATTGATATGGTGAAGGTCTTGGTAACTTTTTCGACTGGATGTGGTCCTTTGCATATCAATTCAGTATACCTAGAAATATTCCCCTACGGATTACTGAGTTCAGGTGTACATCGAATGATTCTCTAATCGTTCGTTCTTTTCTGACAAATGCCGTCACTTATATTGATACCCTGCCCTGTCTCGAGTGATATGCTTGGTTTGGAACCTTTCGGGCCAGCCAATGTTCTATGGACACGATTGGAGACAATGGTCAACTCAACGAACTCGGACTGATCTATTCAAACAACTAAAAATTTCAACTTTTCTCTCGGTCTGAAATAAACAATACGCCCCCTCCCCTACCTATCCCATATCACCTTATACACTGTTGTCGAACTTCGGATGGTGTCGCTCATTTTGTTGTGCTGTGAGAAAGCCTCGTATTAGGGGAATAAGATGTTATAAATCTTCCATTTATTTTTACTAAATCAAAGAAATGTCCACACACACACGTACATCTTCCTTCGTCACACTTACACACACACGTATAACAACTAAGCTACATAAAGAACCGAAAAGAAAAGGAAAAATACGCATATATACATGATTACACGCATCAAGGGTTCTAACGACAAGAAAGAGATAATTATATATGATCAAAGATATCACGTCCAGAGAAATACAGGGAAGAGAAAGAAAACATACTGTGAGGGTAGTACCCGTAACAGCGAGCATTTAACACAAATGGATAAGCACTGTGCTTAAAAATGATACTGACTTAGTTAGATTTCATAAAGCCACTCATACAATACAAGAAGAACTTGCTTTCACAAATACTGTCAATTTTTGAAATCCTTTTCACAAGTTATGCATTATCAAACGTATTATTATGACTTCAACTAAAACAAAACGCAAGCAAACAATAGCAAAGGTAAAACGAGAAAAAAAGTCCGAATAAACATGAAGACGATGTACGTATCAAGATCACCTTCACGAATATGCACGATGATCTCGATGAATTTCAAAGTTAATGTCGAAGAACATTCAAGACTTATTTCATAGAGACGATTAATAAAAGTTCAAAGTGCAGCGCTAAAACGAAAACAAACTGGAAAAGAAAACAATGAAAGCATAATTTCTCTTCAATATGAATTACCTTATTCAACAACAAAAAAACAAGAAACTTAATCATGATTTACATGAATACGTTGATAAATTAGAAGGAAAGTCCAAAGTAATGCGAGACGCAAAGCGCAAGAATCCGGAAACTGGTGTCATAGATTGGTAAAGGCGGTGAACAATTTTTCATCAACATCAAGATCATCATTAAGTGATTCAGCAGTAGATAGTTCGTCTGATAATGAGTCAGGTGACGAGTTAGCTTCACCTGAAAGGGAAATATCAGAAACATCAGTTGTGCTCTCACTTGATGAAGGAGATGATGATGAAGATGGCGATGGTAGTAGCGCAGCAGAAACATCGGATAACGACGAATAAAACGTAGATGTCGGTGACGAGGCAAAATAACGACTATCATTCACTTCGGGATTAGATGACCAGTCACTAGAACTTTCGATATCGTCTAAAACGTTATCAGATTCTGACAGAACAAAAAGAAGAAACAAAATTCAACATAGGCTTCACAACTCTATCAGTATCAAGATTACCTTCACGTTCATTACGCTCAGAATTTTCGATTTTAATCTTTTTCGGTGTCGAATGTTTCGAATTGTCTTGTGAATCATAAGTATTATTATCACCATAAGAAGAATTACTTCGTTTCATAACACGATTCCACATGCTAATATCAATAGAGAAGACAAGAAAAGATAAGGTATACACGAACACGATGAGAATGACAGGGAAAAGATGAACAGTGAGTTATATAACAGTTGGCATAAAGTCTTTCATATCCACCACTCATAATGAGATAACACCCTTTTTATGAAAAAATATCACCACACATATCGCGAGTGGCACGCCATTTTGTTCAATTTCAAAATACTATATTATTAAATATACAGTATGTCAAAAATTATTCCGATACCCTACGACATCTCTCTTGTTGAGCGAATTTCTCAGTGAAGAAAATATATTTTTTTGACTCTGATTACATCATTCGACAGGTCATCATCTCTACTTTCTTTTGCATAGAAAATATTATTTCCTCAGTGTAGTTTTCATAAAGTTTTAGAAGGTTTTCTTAGAAGCGGTCGATTTTACAAGCAAAAAAAAATATTCGGACACTTGCATTTTTTTCTTTATCACAGCTCTATTTTGCATCAAAATATTTTGAATTACATATGATTTGATAGAGAAAACATTTCTCTACACGCTGATATGTATAAAATTGAAAAATATTTTAAGATCATGCCGAAAGGTTCTCAAATACCGGAAGCACCATATGTTTTACAGAAAACTCTTGTTTTTCGGCTTCAGAAAAATGAAAACCCAACTCAAAATATATCATTTCAAAGAGAAAAAAGTGCTGATTCCGAATATATCTTTTGTTTTTCAAAATTCTCAAATATTATATGTAGTAATTAGTAATTAAAATTAATATTCAATATACCTCGTCCAATATTCTCAATTTCTAGGCAACTAAATCGAATTTAAAAATCTTTCGAAATATACAGGCTGATAGAAAAATCAAATTCTCTACCAGATGATATGCTTGAATGCACGATAGCTATTTTCCTTAGACACGATCAACGCCTATCTATACACGTGTAATTTATTGCGAAGAAAGAAAAAAACATTTTTTTTTCGTTCTGTTGCATTGATGTGAAGCTACCACAACACGATCCGTCACCACGATCGTGATGACCACTTTCTTGGTTGTCCCACTGGAACCAATCAAAAAATTCGGCAGAGGGCGCACCTAGTCGGAAATACCAATTTTGAAGCACATCACCCCACCGTCTTCCACAACTTCTCAATACTTCCACAAACAGCTAATCCAGGCAAAATCTCCACAAACAATTCCACAAAAAAAAAATTAATAAAAAAAGAATTAATAATTAGTGTTGTGGTGGTGGTGGTGGTACGCAATACATCGAGTCTCTTGAGTCTCAGAAGTTTCGTCGAAATATGTGTGATACATCATTTCATTCAGTGTGATCAGCCGTACCAATTCCATCTCTCATTCTCTCCCGGCAAACCTTCTGAGAGTCTGGAAATCCGATTTCATCATTATCTGTACCACAAAATTATTAATGTTTAATAATTTTTATTATTTTTTTTTGTGTTATGGGAAGGTTTGCCGGGAGATAGCGAGTTGTGGAACCGATAGGCCTTCTCAAGCGAATCCGATGATGTGTCACGTTTCCCCCGGCAAGACTTCTGAGACACAGGATAGCCGATTTTATGACCAGGACTACCACGAAATTATTAATTTTTAATAATTTTTATTGAATTTTTTATTATGGGAAGGCTTGCCGGGAGAGAAGGAGTAGTGGAATCGATAGCCCTTCCCACGCGGAATCAGATGTTCTACATATATCTTCCGGCAAACCTTCTGAGACTCTGCAGATCCGATGTAATTAGTACCAAGTGCAGAAAATTATCAATTATTAATATTTTTTAATAATTTTTTTGGTAGGGAAAGGTTTTCTGGGAGAGAACGAGAAGAGGAATCGATTGCCGCGTTCTAGCTGAATCAAATGAAGCATCACAAATCTCCCGGCAAACCTTTCGACACTCAAAAAACCCGATTTATTGAGTATGACCCCCAGAATACTGATTATTAATAATTTTTTATTAATTTTTTTGTTGTGGAACGGTTTGCCGAGTGAGATGTGGTTAAAACGTATCTGTTTTCATTGTTTGGAGAAGGATTTATCGCAGTGGCGGATCTAGGATTTTGGAAAGGGGGCGCGATCATTGGGAAAAAACACGTTTTGAGATCCATTTGAGGAGGGTGTGGGTGTGGGTCTGGTTGTGGGTGGGTGTGGGTGTGCGTGTGGGTCTGGGTCTGGGTCTGGGTGTAGGCGTGTGCGTACATGTCGTTGTGGGTGAAGATTCTCTGTTGACCCACACTTATATCCACACACGTACACTGTCACACTTACATTCATTCAACAGCTGCACCCGCACGCACACATATCTCACTATCACCGCTTCATCCACAGCTCGGTGGTTTGTAGAAAAGCCGTGGATAATTCATATCGTTGGATGAGGTGCTACGAAAAATGTCAGTTTTCTTCGTAACTGACAAAACATGCGATACAGTAGTAGAAGAAACGCATCAATTAACAGTTTGGTTATAATTTTATGCACATATTCTCTTCAGAGTAATTTTAAGCGACAACTGTTTTGTAACATGAATCACTTTGTTTTTATAGCATCAAGCGTCGTACTGGAATTACCAATAGCCCTGGTTACAGTAGCTGAGATATTAACAGACTTTGCCACGAACGTATTCACTTGGCTGACTAGTCTGTTTTCGTCAACGAGGTATCGTAAAGGCCATTGGATTAAGGTCCATACAAATGCGAGAGTGATTTCAGTAAACCACACAAGGAATATGATGCCATGAATTAATGCAAGAAATCCCAATGTACCATAGAAGAGAAAATGAATAATAAGATGTAAATGATCAATGAACGTTGGCGTACGGTTCGAAAATATATCAATAAATGGCATGAAACAACACATACGTGGCATTATTAAAAACATGATCCCCATGCTGAGGGGCAATAGATACAGAAATAAGATATCTGCGGTTGTTTGTGGGTATGTCTTTGCCTGTTCGAAACAATAGGAAGTATAGTAGCTTGTTAAAGATGCGATGATACCATCATAGACTAATCCTATTGTAGTGATGAAAAGAGCAGTGCGACGAGAGGAGATTGCAAACGCCATGAGAAAGAAGATAGCTGCTAATCCATACAACATAATCGAGAAGTAGGCAAAAGATGAAGTCATCAGATGGTAGTAAGAAATTACACCCAGCATGTTGTTGTCGAATTTTGGTAATCGTGAAAAGATGAAGTAAAAGCAATCTGTAATGAAAGCTGCAAATATACGAAGAAAATTACTTTTCAAAATTATTGCAGTATTCGTCGAATCGCCAGAGTGTCGATGCAAAAGCATGCAGTAGTGATTTTTTTTGCTTCTTTTACGTGCAAGCGTATGCCAAATAGTTCTTTGATTTTTCAGGTAATAAGTGTTTTTTTCGCTTTCTCTCATGCAAAAAAGTTTAATGACACGTCAACGTTCGTCCATCATTGCATTCAAACAAAGTTAGGCAAGAACAAAAACTGTCTGATGTCACAAACTACATGGCTTTTATTCTCTTATGCAAAGCAGCTGTGATCGCTTCTTGAAAAAAATGGATTATGTAGACGGCTTTCGACGAATAATTCTAGCAGATTAAGACCAAGTTCTGTGTTACAGAATCTTCTTAGCATACATCTCGAAAAAAGCAGCTTCTATAAGCAATTACGCTTTACGCATTATCTTTGTCAAGACGAGAGGAATTGAGAAAGAATTTCAAAAGATCGTCCAAATCCGTCTTCTCTCTCGGAAAATATTAGAAAAGACTGATTGATTTCGAACAGTGGTAGAGTCGCTGACAATGGAGCTACCCGAAGTCAGGGTGTGGATGTAGATATGGGTGAATAGAGTGCGAATGTAGGTGTCTTCTTTTACACTGCACACATCCACTCACGTAAGAATTAAAAAGTCCATTGTTCGCTCTATGACAAATAATTAATTGAAAATATCACGACGCAATTGTGGTAGATCCTACTGTAACGATTGATACAAATTAATGAAAACTGATTTTTTTTAATTCCTTTTTTTCTTAATATTTTTTGTTATTGATTTGGCGTCATCCAGTGGGTGTTTAAATGGCAGATAAAAACAATAAATCCATGGATGCTATGGATATGTCGCTCGAAAATGATTGAAACTTGTACATTGCATTGTCTTATTGACAGCAATACAAATAGCGATGTTTTTTCATTTTGCACATGTATACGTGTAAAGTAGCTATTCTCAACTGTCTTTTCTCTGACTAACGATCGAGCAAACAGGCCGAAAAAACTAACTTATTCTATCGCTTGAAAAATCGTCTTCGTTATTTTTTTTTTCGAAATTTTATAATTTTTCTAAAGATGAAAATAAATATGTATTTTAAACAGAGAGTTTTAAATGAATTTTATTTACAAAGAAACAAAAAAGAACGATGATACAGATTGCGATATTTTCTCTTCCATTCTCTGCATGCGAAGAAAAAAAAACTCTGATGATGATTTTTCGTAATTTAAATGAGATTACTATTTATTTTTTAAAAAATAACGAAACAATTATATTCTTTTTGCATATGTATGCATTCTGACTGTTACTCCTACAGTAATGACAGCAAAATATGCTGTTGATGATACGACTGTAAGTAATCCGATTTCACAATTGCTATCTACACTGTCAAAGATAATACCGAATAAGTAGTTATTTCGTTTTATCAAAGTGTACTGCACTTTGTAGAGGACGTA